AGCAGCACTGCTGAGCCTCCCAGAGCTGGTTATGTGGAGCATCCCATGGATGATGCTTGTGTGAAGGTGGATGAAGCGCATCGAGTGCGAGCAGGATGCAAGCAGGGTGCGAGCAGGGCACCTGCACCCAGCAAAGGCTCCTCTGCTCCCCCAGCTCGAGGGGGATGCCCCAGCGAGTGTGGGTATGGCAGATCTGGCCAGCAAAGTCATTAGAATGGATCTAGGGCAACATTTTGCAGCCGCCCGTGCAACAAACACCACGGCACAAGTCACTGCTTGTACTGCAGAGCGACCACCTGGTGGCATTTTGCATTTTTAATTTCAGCAAGTACAATTCCCACCTCTGCTTACCGTAGGAGGAAGAGCAAAATATGATCTTGGCTAATGAGGCTGGAATTAACTGCATTTTAATTAAGGACCTCTCTTTTTCCTAAGAGGTTAGAAATATGTGAAATTACTCAAAAACAGGGAGTCAAGCAGCAATTCCCTGTCGGCCATCAGCCAGGTTTGTGCAGGCAAGTCCTGCTGACTGCTGGTTGTTAAATGTTTTCTAGATCATGTTGTGTGGCAGCACCCATAAAACAGTGGGAAAATCAGAGCCCCAATGTACAAGGCATCCAACCAACTTCAGGGCAAAGGCCAGAGCAAACTTCCCAGTGATTTCATTTAATTCACAGTCTAAAGCCCTCAGTAGGAACTGGAAGGACGAGGCTTCTGCAGGATACAGCAGATTGCCTCTGATCCAGAAACTGTTGGACATCTCCATTTTCCAGCCCGCACCAGATCAATTTACCACCACAAGTGACATCTGCCAGGGATGCGTTATTATTTCTTTAACCATCCACTCGCATGCTATAAAACAGCCCGGCAAAGTGCTGTATCCATAGGGAAAATACCCATGCGACTGGTCCCCAGGTGTTGCACGCTGGTCACAGAGGTGGCAAGCTCTCTTGCATGGGCTGCTACCGGCTTTCTCTGGTCACGAGAGTCGACATGTGCCATGGGGCAAGGAGATGCCCAGGGAACTGGCCTGATCTTTGCAATCTGTGTCCTGTCACCCATGGGACTCCTGGGCATTCCTCACCTGCTGCTAACCCACACAGTGACCAAAAGCCATGTTATTTCTTCACTTTTATCGCCTCAGCTTCACCGTAGGAGAAAAAAAAA